TGAAGATGACTTTTGGAGATGCTGGAAGAGAGGAGCGAAACACTGTAAGAGTCAGGACAAGTTTAACTCTGTGTATTTGTGGGGTTTTTGTTTTCTTTTTTTTTTCTTTCATTTTCAGACAGTTTAAAAAGTAAACATCTTAAGGCACAATCTGTATTTTTTCCATATTCCCTGGTTTGGTTAGGTGATATAGAAGATTTATCACTAGGATTGGCTAGTGATCTAGAAGTCAGCAGGTTAATAACAAATTATATTGATGCCATTAGTTCTGTTCTCAAAGGGGTAGTACAGTATAACGAGAAAAACCAACAGTCCAAGGTAGAAGATCTGGGTGCCGGTGGTGGTTTTCCTGCATACCAGCTGCAGACAAGGCACGTGACCCTCTCTAGGCTTCAGCCGGCTCGTCTATAAAGTGAGAAATCGGACTGGATGGTCTCTAAGGGAGATCCAATTCTAACACTACAAGGAATCATTAATCTATTGGCAGGAGAGTCCATGTATTTCAACTCAAGCATTATGCTTGTCTGAACTGGCTTTTAGAAAGTAAACTTTGGAGTTTCTTTTGTTAACCACCCTCTCAAAGGTACGAGTGGTACCTCCCTCTCAGAGGTAAGCGGAGTCTGCTTTCCATTCCTTACTGCCCTTGCTTCTGGTCTTCTTGGCCACTTTTACAACCTGCCACGATGGCCATTCCCAGGTTCTTCATCTTGCTTTTCCATTAGGAAAATAAGAGTGACATTAGCTTATAGATACACACACACAGAAATACAGCTACTTTCACACATCTGCAGGGAAGCAGCAAGGGACTTTGTCAGATGGCTGCGAATCACTGAATAGGCATTTTATAAATATGAGATGAAAATCTGAACGCAAGTTGATTTCACCTTGCTTTTGCAGACTAGCAATGTTTCCAACTATTTCCTCACTTGTCAGAAGGTGGAGAGATTCTATACTTTTTAAACAAAGAAACTTGGGGCTCTTTACTCCTTCCAATGGTAGCAGCGCCCATACGGGCTTCACACTTGTCAGGCCTGCGCTCGCTGGAGCCCAGAGGGCCAGATGTGAGGATTACCGAGCATTAGCAGGTATTCACACTGAGCACATGGGCCCTGGAGGCTTGGGAGATGAGAATTAATATCATTCTACACATCCTGGAAAAGTCTTGTACCTGGAACAAAGACTGCAGCGTCACCGTGTAGATACCAGCTAAACTACTCTGGTGCTGGCAGGGTACCCTCGCAATAAATATTCTTAAAGTGAACAGGAGTCCTGTGGTTCTTCCACCAGGCACCAGTGGGAGTGTTCACAACCTTAATATCTGGGTGTAAATTACTTCTGTACAAAAATAAAAACTTGTATTTCAGTGACGGTTTTATCTCCATGTTCCGTAATTCTTTCTGACAGCTGAGGCTCACAAATCTGGGCTGTGTCCTGTCCAGAAGTCAGATTTTGTGTCATAGTAGACCCACAACCTGCTCAGCTGCTCAGCAGGGACTGTTATTAGCTTATTTTATTCCACCTACGTCAGGACCCTTGATGATTTGTGTGTTGGACAGTCTGCAAGCATCTTAATCAGCTGGGCAACTTCAGCAAGTAAAACAAGAAACTTCCAAGTTGCACATACCCAAAATGTTCACAAAAGAAGGAAGTCAACAACTAAGTTCCCACCAAAGGATTTTGTCCAGCAAAGGATACTGCAGGCCCGAGGCCACGGCACTGGTGCGATAACCTCCCAGGCGCTGCCCACTCTCGGAGCAGTGCCAGGCAAACTGCTTGTCCTGCCCCGTGCTCAGCACCCACTCCAGCTCCAGGACAAACAGGATCATCGTCACTCTGCTCTGATGTGCTAAAAACCAAGAGACAAGAAGACAACCCGTAAAACATCCTGAAGGAGGCTGGTAAAGCGTAGTCCACAGAGATGCATCACTCTCTCCTCCCCACACTAGAGTATGCTGAAGAGTAGATAACCATTATCAACACGGGCTAGAACAGTGGTTCTCATCAGGGTAGGGGCATGACACTGTAGAGCGCCATGCCGAGTTTTTATATGCAATTCTTCCCAATACCAAAGGGCCTAGGCCACCTCTCTCAGACATGTTAGAGCTACTGGAATAGAAAATGCTAGATCAGTGTGACCACAAAACACATTTGAAGTGATGTTCTTCTAATGAAGTCACCGAGGTCAGTTTATTTAAGCTTAAAAAAAAAAGCAAAGAGCATTACTGTTCTCCTTCTGATGAAAGCTAGCTTATAAACCCACAACAAAGTTCTAGATGAACTTTCTGTGAGAAAGCAAATGCTTGGAAAGGAGGACAGACTTATTCCCAAGTGCCATAAAAAAAAGAATGAAATACCCCTGACATCAAAGTATATGCATCATGTGATCACGAGAGCGAATTTCCCAGGGTTGCTCACCACCACAGAATTACTGCATCATACAATTTCAGAGTTAGAAGAAACTATTCATGTCATGTCGACTCCATCTCCCTATTTTATATATGGGCAAACTGAGGCACAATGACGTTGAGTAGTTTGGCCAAGGTCTCATGGTTTCTCCACTACCAAATAAAATCAATAAAATATTTGCTTTCTTATTACGCAGTTCCAGAGAGAGGTATAGGGGGTCCATGGTCACTGAACAGAGCAGACTGGAATAAACAAAGATTGATACCCTGGAAATTGGACCCCACCGGGCTCCGTGCCCAGGAGCTGGCAGCCTGGTGGGTGAGAGCAGACTCATCCTGACTGTGATGAGATGACAGAGAAGACAGCAGTTTCCCATTTTGATCATGAAATAGGATTACAGACAGTATGGATGGATCAGTGCAGCTCTATCAGCAAGAACAGCATCACTGCCTACTTCTGTGTCTAATTAGGGCCAGGTACTTAAAAGATATTCCCACTTTGTCATTGTAATGTCTCTGCAAAGCTGGGTGGCTTCCTCATTTTACAGGCACAACCTGGCCTTGGCAAAATGGCCCTCACAGACTGCCTACTGAACAGTACAGTCAGAACCGCAGTGGGTACCTCCAGGACAGTCATTCCACCAAATGCCTGATGCTTTAAAATCTGATGTTTGAAGCCTGGTGAATCTACGGGGCTTCTGAAGGGGCACCGGAGCAGTAATAATATGACTTCTCTACACAGTACCTGCTTTTCGGAGACTTGGCCACCATCAAGATCAAAATGCTGTCTTTAACTAAAAGATGCGACTTCCTGGAAAAACTCCTGAAGATCTTGTCACGTCTGTGTCATCAAATGCTCAATTTAAGCTCCGCCAATGACGGGATAAAAATGAACTCTCCCCTGGTTCACCTTCAAGTGTGCCAAGTCTGTCTCAAGCAGAAAGCGGCCCCCGGCGCTTTGCCTCCTTTTTGTATGAAGAGGCCTTTGATCTTTGACCTGTTACTTTCTAAGTCCAAGGGGATGACAGTAGCCCAGAAAGATATGGGGGTTTGGCCCTCTGAGCTGTGGTCATGTGCCAGAGGAGGAGACAGAGGCTCAAAAATGTTACGTGACTCGCTCAAAGCTACACAATCAACGACGCAGCGAGAATTTTAAAAACTTCGTCTCTCTGCCAGAGTTGGTTCTCTTCCTCTGTCAGGCTGCCTGTGACTACTGAAGAAAACAAACAAAAACCAAACCTTAAAACTTAAGGCACATACTTTTTCTAAGGTGACAGAATTCTTTTATTCAAAAACAAACCCTTTGAAGATACATACATATCACTCAGTTTTAGGAACCTGGGCTTGAAGCCTGGCTCTACTTCTTAAATAGGAGTCATGATCTTGATCTTAGGGAGAAAGTATCTAGTTTCTCACAATTAAGTACAGCTGAGCCTCCAACAATGCAGGTTTGAACTGCGTGGGTCCGCTTATGTGCAGATTTTTTTCACTAGTAAATACTACAGTACTGCATGATCCAAGGTTGGTTGAATCTGAGGATGTGATAAAATGCAGATACGGCGGGCTGACAGTAAATTACACACGGATTTTCCACTGCGCAGAGGGCTGGTGCCCTTAACTCTTGCGTTGTTCAGGGGTCAAATGTCTGATGTTAGCTCTAGGTTTTTTATAGACATTTCGCTATCAAGTTGAAGAAGTTCCCATCTATTCGTAATTTCCTGAGAGTTTTTATTATGGATGGGTGTCAGATTTTATTAAATGCTTTTTCTGTATCAATCAATATGATCACATGATTTTTCTTCAAGCTTTTTAATGTGATGGATTACACTGATTTTCAAATGCTGAACCAGCTTTGCATTTCTGGAATAAATCCCACTTGGTCACAGTGTATAATTCTTTCTATACATTGTTGGATTTGCTAGCATTTTTTGAGGATTTTTACAGCTAAGTTCATGAGAGATACTGCACTGTAGTTCCTTTCTTGTAATATCTTTGTCTGGTTTTGGTATCACTGATTAATTTTTCAATGTTAATTGTGATAAAATTCACTTAATATAATTTTACCATTTAAACCATTTTGGAGTGTATATAATTCAGTGATTTTTTTAGTATACTCACAATGTTGTACAATTATCATGGAAAGTTTTCTATTTCCAGAACATTTCCATTACCCCAAAAAGAAACCCATACCCAAATTCCCCCTTCCCCAATCCTGGGTAGTGACTAATTTGCTTTGTCTCTAAGGATTCTCCTGTTCTTGATATTTCATATAAGTGTAATCATACAATGTATGGTGTTTTGTGACTAGTTTCCATCACTTAGCACGTTTTCAAGCTTCATCCACATTACAGCAGGAATTAGTACTTCATTCCCTTTTTATGGCCAAATAATAATGCATCATGTTGATATACCACATTTTGTTTACCCATTCATCCATCCATGGACATTTAGTTTGTTTCCACTTTTTAGCTACAGTGAATAATGCTATACATATGGGTACACAGATATCTGTTTTGAGTTCCTGCTTTCATTTCTTTTGAGTATAAACCTGGAATAAACCTCACTTGGTCGTGAGGTAATTATCCTTTGATATATTGCTAAATTTGACCTGCTGAAATTTTGTTTAGATTTTTTTGGCATCTATTTTCATGGGTGCTGCTGATCTATATATAATATACATGTCTTGTTCACTATTATATCCAGTTATTGGAACACAGCAGGTACTCAATAAATACTTGATAAATGATATATGAAAAAAATTAAAGAATAAATCCATAAGGAAATAAATTTTGGATCAAAATCTAGAAATAAAGAACTTCATGCTTAGAATTTTCTAAAATCAGGATGGGATGCTATGTCCCTGAAGGTATCAGAGAAGATGCTGCATGATCATGCAGAATGAATGAGGTCATGAGATTTGGATGAAATGACCTCTAAGTGCTAAGAGGTCTACTTCTCATGTTCTGAACCCTGACACTGACATTTGCCTGGATGAAAAAAATCTTTGCTGAACGTTGCTCCTGGTCTATATTATGGAAATGGTCTATGGTGCACTGCCAATGTCAAAGACACAATAAAACCCTAGTTCCTTTCCTTAGACAATATGAACACTCTCAGCTTTTTAAAACATTTAACCAAAAATTAAATGAGCTCCATGGAAAGCCACTCCTGGCCCCACTCTCCAAGTCTGGGGCAGGGTTTCCAGGCAGGTGGAGCAGGAAGACAAAGGACCAAGGCTGTGGGCCCTGGAGTCCCACTGACCTGCTCTGGCTCCGCACTTCACCAGCTACAGGACCACAGGCCTGTCAGCCAACCTCTCAGGGCCTCTCCTTCTTAAGTCAGAAACTGGGATAATATTCACGACGAAGGACTGCTGTTTTGTCTTCCTGACTATTGTAAAGTCAAGCCCTCTCTTGGCGATGGAAGCCATCAGGAAACACTTCAACGTCTAGGAAGATGAAAACACTGCTCTCATTCCTACCTTGATAGTTTTTCACAGGAGTCATCTTGTTATAATCTTCTGATAAAATAAACTCCTGCAAAAGAGAAGAAACATACTAAGCAAAAAGAAATTCTTTAAGTGAATAAGTGTTTTGGTAAAACCAGACTGTATAGCCAAACACAATCACAGGATTACATCTAACATTAATATTTTGCCAATCAACTTTTTGAGAGTAACAATCACATTACAACCAATGCAATTATCATTTTTATCTTATAACTCTGAAGTTGATTTTTTTTTTTTTTGAGTATACATGAGAAGGAAACTGGATCAAGTTCAGAGTCCTGATTCTGGTCAAATTACTTTTCTCTCAGTGGTGCCACAGCTGAAAATTTGCAAGGCTCTGGCCAGTTAGCAAATGGGTGGCAATTTTCTACTAGAGAAATAAATTACATATTTTAAAGATTCTGTTTCTAATAGCAGTAACTTACTTCCCTGTACAACAAGCTTCTCAAGGCTGCGCCTTGCTCGTCCCTGGCACGACACGTGGCACAGTGCTTTGGTGCAGCAGGTAGTCAATAAACACTGACAAAATGGCTATCTCCCAACCCGACGGGATTAGTTTGTATGCCAAATTTACTGCAAAATGTCAGTTTCCATATAACACATTGTATGTACTCTTGTGAGGACGCAGAAAAGGTAAGTCTGTGTATCTGTGCACAGGCTTCACCTGAGCACCTACAAATACAATGACCTATTATATGCAGAAATCAATCAAGTGTTTATAAGCCGGGTCGGGCTTTGAGTCCCTCAGCTTCTTTCACATGCAAATACCCCTATATCCGTAAAACAGTAGGTTGTCAGGTATGAGGAAAGCTGCAAAGGGTAATAAACTGATGCCTTTGTCTGAACTTAAAAACAGAACAATGAATCTTTTCAAAGCATTCAGAGGCTTCCAGGATTTCTTCTTGACTTCGTAAAGAAAGTGGGTGGGAGGATAGACGCACAGACTCATGACGTGTTATCTCGGCATTTACTGAATTCATATAGCTTGTGTGACTTTTCAGAAGTAAATGATTATACTCTTTGTGACAGATGCCACATAGTTAAATAAAGTACAAGGTGATGAGAGCCTGAACACGGTAACAGAGGTCCTCTAGGTACCGTTTTCCCACCCCACCCCTTCTTAAGAGGCTTATCTACAAACGGATTTTCTTCACCAGGATTTTCTCAGTAATAACATTATTCAACTTGTCACTTTTAAAATTCGTATCATTATTCCTTCATGGAGTGGCACTATATTCATTCCTGGAGAGTTAGACTTACAACTGAGGAGAGCAGACTAATTTTAGAGTAGTTTTCCCATAAGGAGCACATAGTGTGGGTAAGAAAGCCACGCACAGGTCTGAGCAACGGTTCACTGCACCCTTCATCCCAGACAAGTAGCTCAATCCTGGGCTCCACACTTTAGAGCACCCCAAATTTCCTAACGTACATGCAAAATAAATTTACTAAGGACAAGTACTATTTGGGCAAGTGTTTACTGGGTTCACATAGTTCATGTATTTTGACTATGCTGAAATGGTTCTTTAGCTTGGGCAAAAGGTATTTTAATTCCTTGTGGAAGCAGGCAGGCTATGAAATAAAACAACTGGATGTATACCTGTGCTTAAGGTTAACGTATATATACATAAAATTACCAGTTCACTGCATTGGTAAACTTAACTTTTTGTTCATTTGTTTTTCCTATGAAATTAAAAACATAATTATGGAGAAATTTTAGGAAATTTGTCAGCACATTTTCATTTTTTTGATGAAAGAAATAATATGCTATTCGAAGAAATGTAAGACTGATGAATATTAAAAAGTCCCTATGATACCATTTCCCAGAGATAAGCATGGAAAGTGTTGGAATAATATACACAATTTTAAAAATATGAATATATTTAACAATACTTTTTTCTGGTAACAAATCATGCATATCATTGCATATAAGTACATACTTAACTTCATTCTTTTTAATGACTACATGGGATGTACTGTAATGTTCTTATATTGAATATTTACATTGCTTCTAGTTTTCCTTATTAAAAAATATCACATGGTCAATCAATTTACGACAAAGGAACCAAGAATATACAATGGGGAAAGGACAGTCTCTTCAATAAACGGTGTTGGGAAAACTAGACAGCCACATGCAAAACAGTGAAACTGGACCAATATCTTACCCCATACACAAAAATTAACTTAAAATGGATTACAGACTTGAACATAAGACTGAACCATAAAACTCCCAGAAGAAAACATAGGCAGTAAGCTCCTCGACATTGGTCTTGGTGATGAGTTTTTGGATTTGATACCAAAAAGCAAAGGCAACACAAGCAAAAATAAACAAGTGGGACTACATCGAACTAAAAGCCTGCACAGTGAAGGAAACCATCAACAAAATGAAAAAATGACCTGCTGAATGGGAGAAAATATTTACAAACCATATATCTGATAAGAGGTTATATCTAAAATATATAAAGAACTCATACAACTCTATAACAAAAAACAATCTAATTAAGAAATGGGCAGAGGTTCTGAATAGCAATTTTCCCAAAGAAGACATACAGATGGCCAACAGGTACATGAAAAGATGCTCAATATCATTAATTATCAGGGAAATACAAATTAAAACCATAATGAGATATCACCTACACCTGTCAGAATGGCTATTATCAAAGAGATAAGAGATAACAAGTGTTGACAAGCATCTGGAGAAAAGGGAACCCTTGTGCAATGTTGGTGGGAGTGTAAATTGGTGCAGCCACTATGGAAAATGGCATGGAGGCTTGTTAAAAAATTTTAGATAGAACTACCATATGATCCAGCAATTCCTCTGGATATTTATCCAAAGAAAGCAAAAACATTAACTTGAAAAGATACATATGTCCTCCCATATTCACTGTAGCATTATTTACAAATAGCCAAGACAGGGAAGCAACCTAAGTGTCCACGGATGGATGGATGGATGGATAGAGAAAATGTGGGATATTACTACAATGGAGTATCATTCAGCCATTAAAAACAAAAATCTTGCCATCTGTGGCAACATGGATGGACAATGAGGGCATCATTATGCTAAGTGAACTACATGAGACAGAGGCAGATAAATACCATATGATCTCACCTACATGTGGAATCTAAAACAAAACAAAACAAACTACTCCCTCCCCACAAAAAACTGATACAGAGAGTAGACTGGTGGTTGCCTGGGGTGGGATGAGGGGTGGGGATGATCAAAACAGGTGAAGGTGATCAAAATGTACAAACTTCCAATTATAAAATAAGTCCTGGAGATACCATATACAATATGGTAACTATAGTTAAAAATACTGCATTGTAAAATTTTTTTTAATTACTGCATTGTATATTTGAAAGTTGCTAAGAGAGTAGATCTTAAAAGTTCTCATCACAAGAAAAAAATAATTTGTAACTGTGTGGTGATGGGTGTTAAATAGGCTTGTGGTGATCATTTTTGCATTAGGTACTGCTCGTCTTTTCAATTTTTTGCCAAAATTAATGTACAAAAAGTTACAACTCACTATGGTTTAGTATGTATTACCCTAACTGCTCATGAGTCAGAGCACTTTTTATACATTTATTTGCCACATTCATTTCTTGCTCCATGAATCGTCTTCAAATTCTGCTGCAGGCTGGTTTCCTAAAAAGTAGAGTCTGAGGTGAAATTAAAGCCATTGTTTGGAGGTGCAATATCAGAGGATATGAGTGAAGAAAGGGCAAAGAAGTGGAAAAGATGAGCGGTGTGTCACCAAGCTGGCCCATGTTTCATGAAGAAACCCAGCTAGCTCCCTGGCAAACAGTAAGTCTCTCGACAGAAGAACAAACACGAGGCTTTGAAAGCAGAGGATGAAGAGAGAATTTATCTACCAGCTCTCTCCCTCCTCCCTTGCTTTGAATTCTGATCATAACTCCATGGAACTTATCTTCCCCCTCCTTCTGAAAGGATGTACTGTCTACCTTGTTAGCAGCCACCGAAGAAGTCAGATTTTAGGCCTTGCTGGGGCTGTACTTCACACAATTCAGAAAGCCACTGAGGAACCAGAGTGCCAACTTCCTTGGGTTTGGGTTTAAAGATAGCAAAGTACAGTAGTTAAGAGTTCAAAGCTCAGGCACTGGAGCCAAACTGTCTGGTTTAAATCCCAGCTACAGTACGTACTAGTTACAAGATCTTGGACAAGTTATTCAGGATTTCTGTGCTGCATTTCCTCCTCTGTACTAGCCTCCTAAGACTGCAGAGAGGATTAGTTAATATTCATGAAGCATTTAAAGCAGTGCCTGGCACACAGTAAGTGCTCTTTGAGAGTTAAGTTAAATAAACAAATGCTATCTTTGTAAAATGAAGTAAGCATCTTAACCTAAAAAAAAACAAACAAACTCTTCTGGACTATAATGAACAACTCTGACTGAAGAATTAGAGAGAATTCGGCTATAAAATTGTGAATGCTTGGTCCTTTTTAAAAAAGAGCAGGTTTTTAACAACTTTGAGTATTGTGTCCCTATTTTTCCCACATGGCCCATGGTTTTTATTGTGTGATTCTGCACAGTGCATGAAAACAGACAAACACATGCTGCGTTATAGCAGAATTAGGTGGTTATAAATATAACATGGTTGTATCTATTTTTTTATGTTTAATATCATCGGCTTTTAATTTTTATAGTTTTTCTTAATGTCATGTGCCAGGACATACTCCTCCTATTTTTATCAGTAGTTTCTAAAACCTAGCTTTTGATTTTATTTGCTGTCCTTTGTTTTCTCTATTGCTAATGTCAAGATTTATTTTCATAATTCTCTCTTCAGACTTCCTTTTGGTTTATCATTTCTTCACATAAATTAAGTTCAATGCTTAGGTCATATGTATACATTTTTATATTAAAGTAATAATATTTTAAGGTAAAATTCTTTAAATACAGCCTTGACTGTACTCCACAGGTTTTGATACAAAGTGGCTCTCTTTTAAAACAATTTCTATATTATATGTTGATTTCTTCTTTAAGTTAGGAATTATTTAGGAAAAAAGTCTAAACAGA